GTTGGGGTCGTCCTCCGTGGAGTCGAGAAAAACCAGTTCATCGGGAGTAGAAGAGTGACCATAGGGGTAAGAGTGTTCATCAAAGACGACATGACGAGAAACAATGACCTTATGAGTTTGGAGATCAAGGCACCGGTAACCACGTTAGTTGGACGGATACCCGAGAAAGACACATCGAGTCGAGCGAGGCGCTAGCTTGTGAGGAGCAGTGGCAGAGATGTTTGGATAGCAAAGGCAACCGGATACACGAAGGTGGGAATATGTGGGGGGTTGGCCATAGAAAATTTCGTGAGGTGTGCGGGAGTTAAGAGTGGTGGTGGGCAATATATTGAACAGGTGAGCAGCCATAGAGAGGGCCTCGACCCAAAATTTGGGAGGAAGATTGGCTTGAAAGAGAAGAGAGCGGACAGTATTGTTAATAGTGCGAATGGTGCGTTCAGCCCGTCCATTTTGTTGACTGGTGTGGGGACAAGAAAAACGAAAGGTGATGCCAAGGCTTTCGAATATTGTTTTGAGGGGGGTGTTTCGGTATTCGGTGCCATTGTCGCACTGTACAGCTTTAATGGTGGTGTTGAATTGATTTTTCACATAAGCAATAAAAGTCTTAAGATGAGAGTATACATCAGATTTATGTCGCAAGGGAAAAATCCATAAGTAATGAGAAAAATCATCCAACAGTAACATATAATGTTTAAAGCCTGTAACACTGGGAACGGGGGATTGCCACAAATCAGTATGTAAAAGTTGAAATGGAAAAATAGAAATACGACTTGATGACATAAATGGGAGGCGAACATGCTTTCCCAATTGACACGCATGACATCAAGACTGTTGAAATTGTTTAGTAAGACACTGTGATAAACTGAGGACTCCACGAAGAACGGCATGGCTGGGGTGACCCAAACGCCGGTGCCAGAGCTCTGGATCAGCAGTGACAGCATGGGCTTGGGCTTAGGTAGTGGATGGGCTCATGGGATATAGTGGACCAGCATCATTGGACCGATGAATCACAGACCCTGTCTGCATATCCTTCACAGAGAAACCAACGGGGTCAAATTCAACGGTACAATTATTGTCTCGGGTAAATTGTCTAACAAAGATAAGGTTATGGATAATATGGGGGGATACCAGGATATTGTGTAGGGACAAGGGAGGGGAAGTAGGGAAGTGATAATTACCGGTAGCCGTAGTATGAACTTTAGAACCATTACCAACAGTGATGTATGAAGATGAATTTAAAGAATGAAAACGAACATGAGAAAGTGTACCTGTGTCGGAGGCTATGTGGTGGGATGCTCCCGTGTCCATGTACCAGGTGGGGTCACGGAGGCTGAGGGTGTCAAAATTGTGGGCTAGGGCGGTGGGTGTGGGGGAAGGGGGGGTTGAC